TATTGCCTGTCCCTATTTGCCTTTAGGGATGTGGTAGTGAGCTGTCTTCTTCAACCACTGCAGTCCATGTGCTGTAGGTAGACCAGGATTTTGACGCAGTAACGCTGAAGAAAAGGTGATATATTTCCCAAGTCAGGCTGGTGTGTGGCTTGGTGGAGAATTTGTAGGTGGTGGGTGTTCCTATGTATCTGTGCCCTTGTCTGTCTTGACGGAAGTGGTCATGGGTTTAGAAGGGGCTGTCTAAGGATCTTTGATAAATTTGGTGAATTTTAGGCTTTGACCAATTTATTATTTTCCAATTCTGGTGAGTAAGAGAAAGACAGTGAATATTATCAAATTGCATTTTAAGACAGCATTTAACTATCCCGCACAATAGAGTGATTGATTAACTGTGCTTCCCCCATAGATCAATTGGCATAGATTAATGGCAAAGGGTGAGGTGGGTTGATTCATAGCTAAAATGTAGAGACCAGAGAGTGGAACTTCATGCTGAGACATCAGAGTGGAAACTACAGGAAAGTGAACCCACATCTCCCTTCTGACACACCGAGCTCTAAAGTACAATGCTTAAACATATCAAATGAGTCGACAACATTGATCGATCAATTAACACACATTAAATGGGATTCTTCATAATAACCATTAATTTGTCACTGAAGGAGCAATGGAGGCAGCACAGTGGTTCAGTTGTTAGCACCGCTGCCTCACAGCACCAGGGACCCGGATTCAATTCTGTCCTCGGGAGACCATGTGGAGTTTGTACATTCTCCCTGTGTCTGTGTGGGTTTGTCCAGGTGCTCCGGTTTCATCCCACAGTCCAAAGATGTGCAGGCTTGGCCATACTAAATTGCCCGTAGTGTTCAGGGATGTGTAGGTTAGGTGGGTTATAGGGGGATGGGTCTGGGTGGGATGTTCTTAGGGTCGGTGTGGACTTGTTGGGCCGAAGGGCCTATTTCCACACTGTAGGGATTCTATGATCTATGAACTTCTGTGGCAAACTCCAAAATTAAGGTGCTGGGGGTTACTGAAAATTATGAGAGGCAGCATAGCAACCTGCTGTGAACAATACAAATGAGGCTTTCGCAAAACTCGCAGACTTCTTGGGCATGGCAGAAAGGCTGAGTGCCCAGAGTTTGTGCAACTTAAGACAACTGAATCTGTTCCACCATTCAATGAGGTCATGGCTAATCTGAAAATCCAAAAATCCACTTTCTTGCCTTTTCCCAATAACCCTTGATTCTCGTGTTGATTAAAACTCTGTCTGTCTCAGCCTTGCATATACTTAATGATGGAGCCTCAACAGCCCTCTGCCATAAAGAATTGTACAGATTCACTACACTCTGAGAGAAGAAGTTCCTTCTTAACTGTGTCTTAAATGAGCAACCCCTTAAATTCAGATTATGTCCTCTGGTCCTCAACTTTCCCACACAGAGAAACATTTCCACATATAGTCTGTCAATTCCCGTAAGAATCTTGTGTAATTCATTAAGGTAGCCTCTTATTTCCAATGAGTACATGTCTAATCTACCCAACTTCTTTTTGTAGATAGACCTTCCATACCTGGGATCTCCTTACGGAACCTTCTCTGGATTGCTTCCAATGTCAGTATATCTTTCCTTAGATAAGGGGCCAAAATTGTTCACCATATTTAAGCTCGTTGTGGCTAGTGCCTTGTATAGTTTTAGCAAGACCACTCTATTCTTATACTTCATTCTCTTTGAAATAAAGGCCAACATTCCATCTGTCGTCCCTGTTACTTGTTGAACATAGATGCTAGATTTTTGTCATTCATGCACAAGGACTCCCAAATCCCTCTGTTTTGAAGCTTTCTGCAGTCTTTCTTTTCAATCTAAGTAATGTTAAGCTCACTTATTCTTCCCATCACAGTGCATAACCTTACCTTTTTTCTCATTGTATTCCATCAGCCAAACCTTTGCTCACTCACTTAACCTGTCTATATCTCTTTGAAGATTCTATGTCATCCTCACCACTTGTCTTCCCATCTATTTTTGTGTCATCCACAAATCTGGCTATAGTACGTACACCTTCCTCATCCAAGTCATTAATATATATGGCAAACATTTTATTAATCGGCACCTATGGGACCAGGAGTGCACCAGTTGTTCGAATACTTAGTTGAGTAAGAGGTGCACATAATCAATATAAACTAGGTAGTAGAACCATAATGCAGGGGGTGTACCCATCACTGTAATACTTTATTTACAGCATAAATCGCTTAAATAATAATGCAAATTGGCCTCAAATAAAACTTACCGGCTTCCTTTTTATATATATAAAGAAGCTTTTGCTGTCAATCTTGATATTACCTGCAAGTTTACTCTTGAAGTGTATTTTTTGCCCCTTTATTAGTTATTTGGTTGTCTTCTGTTGATTTTTAAAACTTTTCCAAACTTTTAACTAGCCACTGATTTTTACCACATTGCACATTTTTTTTTTCTTTCATTCTGATTCTATCTTAACTTCCCTGGTCAACCACAGTTTGCTTCCCCCCTTCCAACAATCCTTCTTCCTCATGAAAATATGTCTTTGGTATGAGCCATTAACTATTTTCCTAAATATCTGCCATTGATCCTCAACCATTTTTGCTGTAAACATTTTCATAAGACTGCACTTAAACCTTTTATAGCAAACTTCTGTAGTCTGGACATTATTGTGTACATGCTTACAACAATACTGATACACTCTTTATTCAAATTGATCTGCCACATTCAGCCAATAATAAATAATCATATAGAAATATTGAATTTAACCAGTTTATTAAGTAAACAAAGGCATCATACATAGATGATTGGTGTCTTAAAATATGGCAATATGTAATAATGGTATTTTATGAATATAGTTGTTAGTGCAGGCTGTCCACTTAAAATAGCAGTCATTTGGTATCAGTGGATATGGAATAAAAAAATGAAAGCTCAGTTAAAGAATCATATTAACCAGGTTATCAGTCATTAAAAAGCATTCTGTAGACCCAGTTCACCCTTGGTTGACCTTCCCAATAAATTCTATGTCTAGTCTAACTTTAAAATGTGTAACACAGATCAATTAGATATTCATTCAGTAAATCAAATCAAAAATTCAAAACTAAACAGAAGAAAGTATATAAAATTAAATCCGTTGTTTCTAAAATGTACTGCTTGACTCCAGCTAAAATGCAAGGACATTAGTACGTGAGTGGAACATGAGAAAAGGTTCAAGAATATCTTGTGATTATAGTAGGATTTTTGTTTTTGTTTAGCTTAGGACATTTATGCTTTGGAGAGAACGAAAAGTGCTTGATGGTTTAAAATTCTGCAGTGAAAAAGGCTGGTTTGACATGCAAAATTTCTAAGCTTGAATCTGAACTGTGTGTAAGTCAAGCATGCATGTCTACAGAGTCAACTGCATATCATAATGGGAAAAGTACAGACAAAACTTATCAAACAGTTGCAGTTTACATGTAAATAAGCAATAGGTTTCTTATGATGATTATATATTTAATAAGTAATTTCATTGTTTTATAAATTAACATTCATATTTACATTAAATATTTTGCATCTATCAGATTATTGTAAACAGAGACTGAAACAATTGACCATTTTGTGCAAAATTATAGGTATATCAATTCATGATCAATTGCGAAGTACCTTAATTGCACATTAATAGCTCCTTATACTTGATATGATGCACCTAGTGTGTGTCTTGTGCACATGCATCTGGATACAAAATCATCTTAAACTCCTTGCACATGTGAACAGTTGGATGCATCAGTTCATAGTCATTGCACACATAAGGGAATACAATACTGTATAATCCCTTGTTATATCTATTGATAATCTATGAAGTCTTCATTATAGGCAAATTTTAATCACTTTTAAGACTTGAATAAAATCAACTGGCAAAACAGAAATCTAAGGTCAAATGTAAGGCCTTGCCTTCATCACATATCCAGCATGGAAGGTGTGGCTCAGATGTGAACAGAAGGAGAAACAGTCCAGGAGGAGGTCTGCTGACGACACAAAGTTGGTTGGGATTGTGCGCTGTGAGGAGGATGAAATGGGGCTTCCAAGTGATTGAGACAAGTTGAGTGAGTGGGTAAACACATGGCAGATGCAATACAACACGGATAAATATAAAGTTATACATTTCAGTGTCGAAAATGGAAATGTAAAACATTATTTAAATGGTGCTATATTGGGAAGCGTGGATGTACAAGGGATATGGGTGTCCTTGTACACCAGTCAATTTATATAGACAGAATGGTGCAGCAAGCACTTAGTATGGAAAATGGCATATTGTCCTTCATTGCATGAGGATTTGAATTCAGAAGTGTGAATGTCTCACTACATTTTTATACAGCCTTGGTGAAACCACAGCTAGAGTACTGAATATAGTTTTGGTCTCCCTACTTCAGTAAGGATGCACTTGTCATAGAGGGAGTGCAATGAAGGTTCAATAGTCTAATACTGGGGTTAGCAGGACTGCCCGACGAGAGCTCACAAGAATGAGGCAGGATCTGATTAGAACATGTAAAATTTTAACAGGTCTGGAAAAACTAAATGCAGAGAGGATATTTTCCTTGGTTGTGGAGTTTAGAACTAGGGGTCACAATCTCAGGACATGGTCTGGACCATTTAGGGCTGAGGTAAGGAAAGATTTCTTCACTCAAAGGTTAGTGAACCTGTGGAATTCTCAACGACACAAGGCTGTGGAGGCCAAGTCACTGAATATATTGAAGAAAGAGATAGATAAACATTTAAAATTTAAAGGTATCAAGAGGTTTTAGGAGAAAGTGGGAATATGACATTGAGATCAGCCACGATCATATTAAATGTTGGAGCAGGCTCAATGCCGAATGGTCTACTCCTGCCCTTAGTTTCTATGAATGAAGAATTATATGGACCTCTGCATGCTCCTTCAGAAAAGGTTTCTGTTGTGGTCAATGTATAACAAAACTGTAAAATTCTTATAAATAATATAGTTACAGTTTTGCAATATGGGGCACATGGCTAACATTATCTTTCCAATTCTTCAATTTAGCGACTGTCACAAGTACATTATATAGTAGCTTGTAAATATTTACTATGATGCATGCCAATCTTGAGACAGATCAGAACTTATTCATTCCTGAGCTGTTTCCACTAATTTATGGAAATGTTTCTCTTATTATGAATAGGATGTTGAATTAAGTTCAGAGGTAGGGAGCATTAATCAAATCTGATAATATGAAGACCAACAATATTTCTGAAAGGTTTCCTCACTTGAAATATATGTTTACTTGAATTTTATGGGCTAATAACTAGATAGTTCCCAAATCAGGCTGTTACGCTAGTACGGCACAAATTGCTTATGTCAGTTGAGAGTGGTGGCAGAACTATGCAAAAATGGCTAAATGGCATCATATGCCCAGGTCAGCATCCAAGCCAGTCAATTGTTCTTCCCAAAGATAGAGGGCTGTGGGTACCACCATGTCTTCAAGATAGCTCACTAGTCTAGGGAAAAATGAGAAATGGCTGGTTTAGATGTTATTCTAGTTGGTCAGCTGAATCCAGATTGAGAGAGGAAGTGAGATGAGTGGGGCACATATGGGTGATGCACGTATGTACGACCAATCATATCGGCACTTGTGTGCCTCTTTCCAAATGGGTCCAATACCAACAAATTTCTCAGCTGACAGTCGATGGGATACTGTTGATGTACTAGAAAATAACTCTCATTGTATATTTTTCTGTTTTGTAACACGAACCACAGATCTTCGCTGCAATATCCCTGAGTAGTTATCAAATTGTGTTTCACACACAAAGCTAATGGTAATATTTGTGTGACGCTGGTGAGGTGTAGCTTGATTTTTCTCAACGACTGGTTATTTTTCTTCTGTATATCGTCACACCTCATGATCTTTATACTAAAAAAAAAAGAAAGTTAAATAATATTCAATTTTAATTCTGTTTTTGTACATGGAATATCAAATTGCATTCACTTAGATTAAAAATAAAATTGAAAATACATTGAGACAAAATTTACAGTTGGAGTGAAACTAACAGGGTGTCCCTTAGTTAAACTTGTCTTTGCTTTTTTTCTTCATTTTCACAATAATTTATTGTGTAAATTGCTAAAATCACAAGGCTGTAACTTTGCAGCAAAAGAAACTGGGCATCTGGGACCTCAGTAAACAGACAAGCAACTGTTTGAAATCTTAACAATTTAGATTAAAGGATTGTGAGATGATCATTGAAATGACTCAAAAAAATACATTTGTGACATTCTTAGCCAAATCAGGAACAGAAAGAGAAATGTTGATGAGGAAGAAAATAAAGATTGGATTGAGAGAGACAGAAATGAGGGATAGAACAGAAAAGTTAAAATAGATTTAAACGTGCATGTATTTAAAATGCCCACAGCAGTTAAAATTGGAAGGAATGAGACTCCATGTTTGTAACAGTTAATATTTAGTGCCAGAGAGGTTCATTGAAAGTAATTAACAATTAGAATATCATGAAAATAATCTCTGAAAGATAAACCAGGCTTAAATAAATTTATGGATATTAAATGACCTTGCATCAATTCTGAGGAAGGGTCACCGGACCCGAAACATTAACTCTGTTTTCTCCTTCACAGATGCTGCCAGACCTGCTGAGCTTTTCCAGCAACTTTGTTTTTGCATCAATTCAGATCAGTTCTAGCATTTTTTTTAAAAAAATCTACAGTCCAAGTATAGGAACTGCACATTTTTCTATGCAATTTAGGAGTGAGGCAGAAAGATACAGGTAAAGAGACACATCTTGGACACTAACATCTAGATTTCTGTGATTAACCAAGCCACTGCCCTGACACGACTTTACTGTGACACTTTCACAACAATAGGTGAGTGCTATTAGTCCCGCCTTTAAGTAACAGGAAATTAAGGAAAACTAACTCTTCCTATGACAGTGACTTTGCAGAATAAAATCAGATATGGCAAACAAATAGTCACTGATGATTTACTAAGAGCCAATGCTCTTTCTCAGTCCTACAACACCTTGAAGAAGAAAGAAATTTTAAAGTTGTTTTGCAATGGTGGGAGAATTTCCTGTCCCTGGGATATCCATCTATTATCCAATCATCAAGGAATCATTATGCTAGAAGATGTAAATAAAATGCTCATCTGACCAGGTAGAGCATTATAAACTAACTCTACAATTAAATACTAACTATGTGTTCTTCATTGTGAATTTGAGGATATAATATTTTACAATAGCTCAGATGTTTCCAGAACAAAGCATCCTTTAGCTAAAAGGACTAAGTAACTTCAAGAGTGGGCTGAGAAGAAGGCATCTTGATCTTGGTGAAACCAATAGTCTCTCTTCTGAAGCAAGAACATTTCAAGGATTGAAAAAGAAACAGAGACACATTAGAAAAATGGTGAATTAAAGTCAAATCAAATAACAGAAAGATTATATGAGTTAAGAAAAGACTGTACTGCGTTAAACAAAAAATAACATTTCATATTCAAAAATCTGTTAGAATAATTTACCATGTGTAGAAATCAACTTTTACAGTTTGAGTTTCTCTCTTTCTGGACCAGACAGGTTGCCGTTATTTTATTCAATCTGCTCAAATGTATCATGACATATGCGTGAGGCAAATGGAACTTGAATCCAAATGTTGTGGCCCAGAGGTAGGGGCATTACCATTGTGCCACAACACTTTCTGGAGAGGTCATATACTTGGCAATGCAAGAACAATAATCTCATCATTAAAAAGCTGTGTATTTTTATGCAGTTAGTTTAATTGGCAATGAATGTGCAAATGTAACCATCTCATGAAACTGGTAGGAATTTTGAGAGAGAGTTTCTATATTTACAAGGCTCACAGCAACATATTTATTCCATGCCACAAGTTGATAACCAATTGTAGATAAAAATGCATATGGATTAAACATGCTGCAATTTTCTTTCTAGATTAATATTTGGAGTATTAAGCCATAGTGATGCATGATATAAAAGAATGACTCATGGTTCTCCAGAAGCCTCCTCGCATCTTCAGCACTGAGTTGTTGCTGGTTTGCTTTGAAATGATAAAATACAATGAGTGAAGCATGACACGAGGTCAGTGTGACTAAGTGCAATTATTAGATGGGATACAAGACTTTATATTCCTGAAAATTTGATTCTTGTCAGCAAAATGCATAATGAAATTTATTACTCTTACCAGTTGGTGATACTTTTCAACATTCTGTTGAGGTTTTATTTCAGTTCCTTTATATGCTATGAAATGGATGAGTGTGGTAATCCTAGAATGATGTAAATAAAATTGTTACCACTTCCATAACATTGAATTAAGGCCTAGAACTTTGTGACAATGGTGTGTCTCTGCTATGTTGAAAATACTAAAAGGTGGAGGGAATCCCAAGTCCACTCCAGAAACCAGCAGTGAAAGTTAGTTCATCAGCATTTTTTTAGAATAGAACCCCTACAGTGTGGAAACAGGCCCTTTGGCCCAACATGTCCACACCAACTCTGAGGATTCCACCCAGACCTATCCCCCTATAACCCACCTAATCCACACATCCCGGAACACTACGCACAATTTAGCATGGCCAATCCACCTAGCCTGCACATCTTTGGACTGTGGGAGGAAACCCACGCAGACACAGGGAGAATGTGCAAACTCCACCCAGACAGTCACCCGAGAGTGGAATCGAACCCAGGTTCTTTGTGCTGTGAGCAGCAGTGCTAACCACTGAGCCACCGTGCCGCCCTAAAGCGCCTCATTTTTTTGTGGGGATGCAGGATTTGGACAGGCTATGATTCATATATTCATGGTTCCTGAAAACAGCTGACCGTTTTAATGACAGGCTGGCTTCAATAAATAGGATTTTGGAGTCCCTGGAATGTGGAATCCAGAGTGTGGAGAATAAACAAGGTAAAAGCAGGTCTGTTCTCCATGCATTCCTTTTAGATAGTTAGTGCACTAACTTTTCATGTGGTGAGGCACAACTTGGGATCTAATCCCAGGGTGCCTTTTTTGGGGGAGGTGAAGAGGTGGTGGGGGAGTTAGTTGCTTTTTAATGGAAGTAAGGCACCCTTTTGAAAGACATAAGGACTCCTTTGGGACTGTGTAAAGTGGGCATGCTGGTTTCTAAAATCTCCCTGAACTCATTTTATTAATTCATTCATTGAATGTGGATATTGCTGCTTGAGCCAAAATTATAATCCCATCCCTGATTGTCCTGGAGAATGTGGGGGTGATCTGTCTTCTCGAATTGCAGCAGTTAATGAGGTGTAACAACACCCACAGTGCTGTTCAGGAGTGAATTCCAGAATTTTGACTGAGTGACACTGAAGGCCCAGTGGTAATGTTTCAAGTCAGGATGATCTGTATTTTGGGGAGGGGATCTTGCAGATCATGGTGTTCCTATACACCTGATGCCTTTCTAGGTGGTAATAGTCAGCTGTTTAGTGGGTGCTACCGAATGAGCCTTGGTTAGTTGTTGAACTGCATCTTGTAGTTTGTACATAGTGCTGCTACCATGCATTGATGATGAAAGGAATGAATACTGAAGATGGTATATGGGGTGATGATCAAACAGACTGCTTTTCCTGGATACTGTCAAGCTTCTTAAGTGTTGCTGGAATAGGTTCAGGAACATGTGAATATGTCGTCACACACTTGACTTGTGCTCTGTAGAGGATGGAAAGGCTTTGGGAAGTAAGGAGGTGAATTACTTTTCATTGAATTCCTAATCTTTGATCTGTTCTTGTAGCCAGAGTATTTATAAGGGTGGTTAATTGTATCCCAAGGGTGTTGACATTGAGGATTTCAGAAATGGTAATACATTGAATGTTAGGGGATGTGGTTAGGTTCTCTCTTAGCAATGATAATTGCCTGGCAATTGTTTGTCACAAATCTTACTTGCCATTTATCAGCTTAAGCCTAATTTGTCCAGGATTTGCTGCATATGGACATGAGGTGATTCAGTATTGGAAGAGATGTAAATATTATTGAATCTTGTGTAATCATCAGTGAACACGCCCACTTCTGTCTATATGATGGAGGGATGGACATTCATAAAGCAGGTAAAAATGGTTAGATTTGGGATATAGCCTTCAGGAATGCCTATGGTGATGTCCTGGGACTGAGCTAATTGACTTCCAACAACCACAACCATCTTCTTTTGTGTTAGTAGAATCCAACTAGTACAAAGATTCCCCCCAGTTCTGACTGACTCCAGTTTTGCAAGAGCTCCTAGGTGCCAGATTCAGTCAAATGCAGCCTTACAGTCACTCTCCCCTCATCTCTGGAATTCTGCTCTTTTGGCTATGTTTAGACTGAAGTTGTAAGGAACTAAATGGCCCTGGTGCAACAAAACCTAGGTTATTGCACAGCAAATGCTAATTGATATTATTGTCAACACTCTGTTCCATCACTTTGTAGATGACTGGGATGATGATTGGGACTGCCAAATCTGTCAAGGGGTGGCATGGTCGCTCAGTGGTTAGTATTGCTGCCTCACAGCGCCAGGGACCCGGGTATGATTCCACCCTCGGGCAACTGTCTGTGTGGAGTTTGCACATTCTCTCCGTGTCTGCATGGATTTCCTCCGGGTGCTCGAGTTTCCTCCCACAGTCCAAAGATGTGTAGGTTAGGTGCATTGGCCATGTAAATTACCTACTGTGTCCAAGGATATGCAGTCTAGGTGGAGTAGCCACTGGAAAATGCAGGGTTACAGGGAGTGGGTCTGGGTGGGATGCTCTTTGGTGTGGACTCGATGGGCCAAATGGTCTGCTTTCACACTGTAGGGATTCTAGAATTCGAGAACTGACAACAAGAATGTGAGAATTAAAACAGAAATTGTACTAGATATTTCAGCACTCCTGTTGACAAAAGCCATTGTAGGATTTGTGCTGTTTACTGATTTCCCGAACTATGATTGTTACAATAGGATAACTATCTGTTTAGCATTGTGATAGAGGCTCCAATTGATTATAGAAGTATTTGTTTATCTAAGGGATTACTTTCTTAAGGGATTGAGTACTTAAATGAAATATTTGTCTATCTAAGGGATTCATTGGAAGATAGTCAATGTATTGAATTCATTTTTTGTATTGATCAAAGTATGTTTCTTTCAATAGAGAATCAGCTATGGACACATAAATTTATTTTCTGTCAGCATGACTCTTGAGGTATGCCCATGACAGATATTAGATGAAAACCGAAAGAACTGCGGATGTTGTAAATCAGGAACAAAAACAAAGTTGCTGGGAAAGCTCAGGAAGTCTGGCAGCATCTGTGAATGGAAAAAACAGAGTTAATGTTTCAGGTCCAGTCACCCTTCCTCAGAACTGGATATTAGATGAATTGTTATAGAAGGCAGGGTGAGGGTATATGAGTTAGCATGTGTTGGCACAAAGGCTATAATGAAGTATTGAGACGATTAGAGGCATGAACATACGAGAGGCCATTGGGATGGGTGGATAAGTATAGGGTAGTACATTGGACCAAAAATGGCAAGTGTGGGCAGCCATTTTTAAAACTTGGGGTCGCACAGCCAGGATTTCTCCCACCCAGAGTATCCAACCCAGAAATATGATCCTGGGCCTAATTGTTTAGAGAGCAAAATATATTTGAATTAATACCTGTGGTACAACATGGTGAGGAACTGAATTCCCAACAGTCCAGCGAACGATACCAAGAACATGAAGCCGAGTGGTTCGATGGTAAGAATTTCACTTTTTGAAACAGTACCATTTGGGAGAATTTTAGGGATCTTGATGTGTATCTCTGGACCAATTGCTTGTAGAAAAAACGTTGAAACAATCCACAGTGTATTAATAATGAAGAAGAGAAAAGTTGCCTGAAAAGAATACAACAGTTTATTCATAATGACAACATTATAAGTGCTTACCAAGTACAATATACTTGTAGACCTCTATATGTAACAAAAGTAAACCTGATTAATGAGAGTAGGAGTTCAATAGGAGCTCCTGATTTAGTTTAATCACTGGAAAAAGAGGAACTGTATCTACTGGGAGTGCTAACCAACACTCAGTGATTCTCCAATTCTTTGTCTTACCAAGTGAGGTTTGACTCTGCAAATGAACCCACACAAAATTTACCTTTTAGTTTAGTTTAGTTTAGAATGCATTCTGCATTCTTCCAATGAGGAGGCATTTAGTACCATGGTCAAGCAAATGTAGAAATTCCAGCTGGTCTGTTGTGTTCAGAAAGTTGAACAGATCAGGTTTTTAAACCATTTCTAATGTTAAAGCACAACATTGACTAACTTTTTCAGTGCCTTCAGTCCATTGTTTTGTCCTCCAACAATCAAAAATAATTCAGCACTGATTTCCCCTTTGGGACTGAACAAGTGATGAGTTTCAGAACAGCCACTTGCAAGAAGTGTTTACCTTGTTTCTGAGAGTATTCAATTCCTTTGCTACCTCTGCCTGTTTTTCTTTATCTTCTTCAATAGGTTTAAGATACAATTCAATGAGATCATTCCAGAATGGGATTTCTTCCTGCAAATAGGACATATAGAATGATAAGGTCAATAAAAATACTGGCCCAGATCTTGAGGAGCAACTATCAAATTTGGATATCTGCTCCACTCGAACTGTCCCATAACTCACTGCTGACCATATTTCCTGCTAGATATTCCATGCCCAGCTTTATCAGAAATGCAGAGTTCAATGTCCTCTGGGGAGCTCAGTCAAAGTGCAGCAGAGAGACCAAACAAAAAAAAAGTTCAGGTCAAAGGTGTGGCCATGGGTACCCACATGGGCCTGAGTTATGCCTGTCTCTTTGTGGGGTAACTGAAACATTCTTGTTTCAGTCCTACTCCAGTTTCCACCCACAAGTCTTTCTCCAGCATATTGATGACATCATTGCTGCTGCTTCCCTCTCTCGTCTGGAATTGGAAAGATTTATCTATTTCGCTTCCAATTTCCACTCCACTATCACCTTCACTTGGTCCATCTCTGACTCCTCCCTTCCCTTTCTTGACATCTCTGTTTCCATTTCTGGGGATAGGCTGGCCTCCAATATCCACTACTAACCCAGTCACTCCCACAGTTACCTTGATTATACATCCTCACATCCTGCTTCCTGTAAAGACTCTATTCCTTTCTCCATTTCCATCACATCTGTTTTGATGGTGCCATCTTCTACAAGGAGGTCTCCAAAATGTCCACCTTCTTCCTCAACTGAGGATACCTCACAGCCATGGTTGACAGGACCCTCAGTTGTGCTCAACCCATCTCCCGTATTTCAGCCCTCACCCCTTTGCTTCACTCCCACAACTACAATAGAGTCCCCTGATCCTCATTTACCAGTCTGCCAGCATCCACACGCAAGTGATCATGACCACCATTCTCACCATCTCCAGCAGGATGCCATTCCTAGATTCATATTCCCCTCCCCTCCCCTGTCAGCCTTCCACAAGGACCATTTCTTCTGGAACACCCTGGTACACTCCCAACACCTCCCCACATCACCATGGCCCCTTCCCATGCAATCATAGAAGGTGTAACATCTGCTCATTTACTTCCTCCTTCCTCACTATCCAAGGTCCAGACACATCTTCCATGTGAAGCAGGTGGGTGGGAATGATAATCAGAACTGTAAGGTATTCAATTGGCGAGGGAGACTGTGGCAGCTGCAGATTTGGGGATAGTCAGGAAGGTAATTGGAAAACCAGGAGGTAACCAGAGAGTCAAGTGGTAGTTGGAGTTTCAATAGGTAGTTGTGGTTGAGGGCTATATGAACTGAAAGGGGTAGTCAGTGGTCAGGGTGCAGTCACACATAGTCAGGAGGGTGAGGGAGGTAGTCAGAGGTTAGTATGACTGATTGTGAGATAACACGGTGTAGAGCTGGATGAACACAGCAGGCCAAGCAGCATCAGAGGAACAGGAAAGCTGATGTTTCAGGTCGAGACCCTTCTTCAGAAATGGGGGAGGGGAAGGGGGTTCTGAAATAAATAGGGAGAGAGGGGGAGGCGGATAGAAGATGGATAGAGGAGAAGATAGGTGGAGAGGAGCCAGACAGGTCAAAGAGGTGGTGTTGGAGCCAGCAAAGATGCATGTAGGTGGGGAGTTAGGGAGGGGATAGGTTGGTCCAGGGAGGACGGACAGGTCAAGGAGGTGGGATGATGTTAGTGGGTAGGAGATGGGGGTGGGGCTTGAGGTGGGAGGAATGGTTAGGGAGGCGGGGACAAGCTGGGGTAGTTTTGGGATGCAGTCGGGGGAGGAGAGATTTTGAAGCTTGTGAAGTCCACATTGATACCCTTGGGCTGCAGGGTTCCCCAGCAAAATATGAGATGCTGTTCCTGCAGCTTTCGGGTGGCATCATTGTGGCAATGCAGGAGGCCCAGGATGGACATGTCGTCCAAGGAATGGGAGGGGGAGTTGAAATGGTTCGCGACTGGGAGGTGTAGTTGTCTGTTGCAAACTGAGCATGTGTTCTGCAAAGCAGTCCCCACGCCTCCGCTTGGTTTCGCCAATGTAGAGAAGGCCACAATGGGAACAGAGGATACAGTATACCACGTTAGCAGATGTGCAGGTGAACATCTGTTTGAACATCTCTTTGGCCCCACATGACTGATTGTGAGGTCAGTTTTGTAACTGCCCAGGAGTTCGACCTGTTTACTTTCTATGTAATATTTCCTGGGTGAGGATTCACATTATAACTCCTCAGTTCACAGAGGATTCCAAAGTACATGGGAATTGCCATTGGAAGTTGAAATTTCCCAGTCCATTCTCACATAGGACCATGCGTCATGACTCCCCACAGCGTCTCTTTGCACATCTATTTTTGTACGTCAAAACTCCAATGAGCCTTAGACTGCATGATTTGGGCAATTATGTTCCAAATGTCTATATTGCTTTACATTACAGGTTAGTAGCTACGTAAAACACAATAGAGTTTAAACGACACATTGAAATGAATATACGAGGAAATTATACAATTGTCAATCAAAACAACTTACTTCATCAAGTTCTTCAACAACAAGCATTATATGGAATGACTGCTCTTGCAAATTGCTTATCCAATCTGTACAATGGAAGCACAAGAAACAGAAACAAAACAGTTTTCTCAATGGCTGTATTGGAGAGAGAAGCAGCTGCCAATATACGCACAACAAAGTCTTATAAACAACAATGGGATAAGTAATGAAATAATCTGATTTTAGTTGAAGGTGATTGAAAGCTATTACAACAATGAGGACTCCCCATGTTACCTTGAATAATCTTGTAAGATCTTTTATATTAACTTGAGAGGGGAGATGGACTCTTTAGTTTAACATCCCATCTGAACCATGCTACCCCAGAACATATAGCACCTGCTCAATGCTGCAGTGGAGTCAGGCTGGATTGGAGTTCAATAACCACAATGCATTGAACCAGTGGAACCACTGAGCGTGGGTAACATCCATATTTTATAGCTGATCCAGGTATCTTTCACTCTCCCACTATCACTCTGCAGCCTAGCAATCTCTAAAATAACACAAGCATTAGACTGATATCAACAAAACAGGTGGCCTCATAGCCAGCATTGTTGTATTGCCTCACTTCTGATCTACTTTATTATCTAACTGCTCTCTAAAAAGTTTGCATTTCTATTAATTTATCCCACTTACACATCTAAACCTCCAACTGATCTGTGGTTCTATCCACTCTCCTTTTATTTTATTTAGTTTTTTCAATCTTACTAAAAAGTGCCCATTCACCTTGCAAACTTACATTCTGATCAAGGACACAAATGAAAGACCAATAAAGGTGTAGAGCTGGACGAACACAGCAGGCCAAGCAGCATCAGAGGAGCAGGAAGGCTGACGTTTCGGGCCTAGACCCTTCTTCAGAAATGGAGAAGAAGGGTCT